ATACACTGTGTCTTGATAATTACTTTACTATCTTTATTTCTTAAAAACAATCAAATCAAAAAGTATAAAGCTTTTAAGTTGACCCAGAAAACTAAATATCGATACAGGATACAGTTAACACGAAATTACAATATTTACAATTATTTTATTGACACAAAAGGTTTTCTTACGTCTAGGAAAGGAATTCCTAATTCTAAGAGACTCTAAGCTAAGGACACTATGGTAGTACAGTTCTAAAGTTATGTTGTTTTGTTGTTTTTAATTGTAACGGTTTTTTCATAATTCCTTCCTAATTCTTTCTACTTTTTAAAACCACGATTCTCTTTCAACTTTAATACCTATGTCCTGATACTTTATTTTCCAACTTTTGGCAAAGCAACTTTAATTTCGTTGTAATTAAAACGTATATTTTGATTTTTTCATTGTTCCATTGTTTTTATTTCAACAATATAATCCGTTTTATGTCTTGAAAAATTCAGTTTGCGCTCTACTTTATGGTCTATAAAATTTTTATGAACCCCAAACTTCTAGTTAAAGTTTTGTTTCTTTTGTATTTTTTTACTTTCGGTTAATCTAAGCGAAGTTTTAAGGTGGTTTTAAGAACCACTTTCGTATTTTTAAATTGTAAAAATAGACTAATACCGGATATAGTAGTTTAGAAACTAGAAACACTGCTGTAATAGAATATTAGAGTTTGCTATGATTATGATTAAGTTTATTCGCTTGATTTCATATTTTACAATTTTGCCCTTTAAAACTTTGTTTTCTGTCTAGACTGAATATTCTTTAGAAATATTTGAAGACAGTACTGTAAATTCTAATTTATCGTTTAAAACTTCCATTGTCTTCATGTCTGCGATCTTGTGTGGTTTTGTATTCCTTTAATCTTATTTTCATTATTGCATAATTTTTCTCATGTTTCTCTGTATTATTTCAGCTGTTCTTTGTTCCTTGGATTTGTGTTTTCGAGATAAATCTTCTTAAGGTCCTCATTTAGAAATTTTGTTTTAAAAGATTCTTCTTTGGTACTTGATCATTTAGGATTTTGTCAAACAACAGGATAAGCGTTCGGATTTAGATTTTTGGAGTGTGTTTTTTTTTGTAAAAACACTCCATGGGATTTGTTTAATAATATTACAATATAACCAAAACTTAGTCAATAACAAATTTTAATCTAACCTAACTTAACTAAGGATACAATCTTAAAAACTAAAGTTCTAATCTAACTTTAGGATTATTTGATAACTAGTTGGCATAAGGGATATGGGCATTATTTATTGTAATTTTTTGGTCATTATTAATTTGATTTACTGATGTTTGTAGTTTATTTGTGGCCTCTTCATAATCTTTGCCTATCGCTAGGATGGCGGTTTCATCTGCAAATGTAGCTATTGTATTTTGTTCAGGTTGGGATATGTCATAATTGGGCATTCCAAACAAAATGATTTTCCGTAGGCAATGACAGGTCACTGACAGGAACATGCTAGGTTATGATATGGTAACATTGTGGGCCTGATGATTTAATCAAATCAATGATATAGATTGATCATCATTCATATTTCTAAAAATAAACAAGTTTACGGCTTGAAGTTAAATGTAGGTAATTTCGTTTTTAATATAGTCAAATTCGGAAAATTGGTTTGAAAATACATTTTTACTAAACCCATTCAAATTAATGAGAACTTGCCAGGCAATATGGCCGCTCGCAAACGACCCGCTTTGTGCAATCTATATAACTATAGTATCATAGTTATCATTGACCCTGTCAATGATAACAGGCCCACAGGGTTGCCATATTTAAACTGTCAGTTCCCACTGGCAGCATTTTAACAGGTCGTTAGGATGTCTAATTGTATAACAAATACAAAGTGGATCCCAGGATGCTTTCCTGTGGTTTTTATCTTTTTCTCTGTCGATTATAAATAGGTAGGGTTAGATTTGGCCCAGAACGCTGTCAAAAAGGGCGAGACTTTGCATTTAAAGATACCATGGTATGATATTTCTTCCTTTTCCATGGAGAGCCTACATATGGTGTTTATAATCCCATCACATGAACGTGTTTTAGTAGGCAATGTCTCGTTAGTAATTCCACAATTGTGGATATCTGAGGCCTTGCGAGTTTGTAAGTACCTCATTAGCCATGCGCGGGTTTGGTCCTCTTGGCATGAACTTACTGATTCTGTGTCCTCTTATCTCTTAATGAATTTGGTTGTTTGTAATTATCCACCTGTTTATTGTCTATCGAGCAGAGGTTTTGTTTATCCGAAATACAGGTACGGGTCCTGTGAATGGTAGTACATAGTATATACCTCTTTAGAGAGTTCATCAGCTATTTCCTTGGATACAAGTGTACCTACGATAATTTTGCCTTATTGTGGGTTAGAAATCATTTAGTATTCCAAGGAAGTTCCAGACCAGATTTGACTGGATTCTGTTTGAACCAAGGACCTTTTAGGCTACTTGGATATCTGAGAGAATTAGGATGTTTGTTTTTGTACTTCCTTCTTCATACAATTGATTTCAAGTAAGATTGTTATCTAAAGTTAGGCCCAGATATTTTACTTGGTTCATTCTTTTTAGCCTTTCTTCAAACAGGGTCAGAGTTTCTAAGACTTCCAGCCTTGTTTTCCTAGTAAAGAATATGAGTTGTGCCCTATTAGGGTTTACCAAGAGGTTTTCCCTACCACACCACATTTCTGTTAGCCTTAGAGCTCTTTGCATGAGTTACTATAGTTGGTGTTTCTCTCGGATAAGGATGATAAGGATAAGGATGATAAGGATGACTACTATGTCATCGACGTATCCTTGGGCATACAGCCCTTAATTGTTCAGTTTTCTCAGCAGTTCACTTGCCACTAGGTTCCACAGTAGAGAAAATAGGACTCCACTCTGTGGGCATCCCCTGTGGGTATATACCTGCGTGCTTTCAATGAACATTTGTACCGGTACTTGCCGTCCACGTAACATGTCTTCTATTCACCAGCAGATGGTGTTTTGAATTCCATGTTGTGCGAGCGGCAGCTACCATTGATTTAGAGGTATGGCTGTGGATGTAGCCATTCAGTTTAGGTATTCATTTTTGATTCATTTTATCTCCATTTTTAACTACTGGGTGGCGTTGTTAAGGTTGATTTTGTCTAATGAAGCTCTGGTCCGATGACATTTTCTCCTTTTTGCAGAGATTATGTCCCTTATTTCATTAGGATAATTATTTCCTGTTGTTCGTTGGGCAATAGTTGGGGTGTTATCCCATTATGCTTGCTGAATGTTAGATGCAAGTCGTTATACTTCACCTAGCTATTCTATTGTTCTTAACGGAACTGAAAGGTTCATTTTCTTTTAGGAAGCTTTGTCAGTCTGTTCTCCTGTTAACTAATCTAAGAGCGCTTTCTCTTGGACAATGATGTCGCTAAGTGAGAAGTATGGAATAATGATCTGAATTCATGGCCCATGTCTCCATCAACTTGGATGTAGTTTGCTATAATACTTTGTACAACAAGGAAGTCTATTTAGTTACGTATTTTGTTGTGGGCCAATAAGTTGGCCTTCCAGTTAAATGCGACTCACATTTTAGTTGTATCATCGCTTCGTTTAGGTTTTTACCCTTATTTCTCGTTGGTCTAGAGTGTTTTTTGCATCAAAGTCGTCTCCAATGATAAATTCTGTTTAGTAACTCTAGGTATTGTTATCTTTTAATGGTATCTCTTGTAGGACGATATTACCATTACTTAAGTAGCTTGAAATTATTCAGTATTGTATCCCGCTTCTTGATGATGGTTAAGCGCTTCTCTAATTATTAATGCGTTACGCCCTTTAGGTGTATTATGAGGATACTTGGTATGGTAAACTTTATTCCCATTTAATCTCAGATTGTAGGTAAGACAATCAATTAGCATTCCATTCCATTATTTATAGGATATTACTCATTATGTTGTTTCTTAGGTATAGCTCTTTTGGCACTATATTCCAACCAAGTAATTCGTTTATCTATTAGGTTCAGCTTTTCCAATTTGTTTCTGATGAGTTCATTTTTCAGTGCTGCAGATTATTCTAGATCTGCTTCAGATGTTATCTGTTAATAGTTATTCAAAGTGGGTAGGTACCTAACTAATTAATTTGCTTTTCCTTCCTGGTAAATCTTGTATCTTTTTTAACTTTAAGCCTGTAATAAGAATTTGTCGATGGCGATATAGTTGTATTCCTTTTTCTGTTATAAGTGTTACAAAGTAATTGACTAAGTGCATGAAAATAAAAAAGAGAAGGACTGTATTACAATTTACAATTTGGTATATATATTTTTGATTTGATTGTTTTCCTTTTTAACTAAAAATGGATGTACTTTAGTTTGTAAATGATGTCTACCAGTAAATATAACTGAAAATAAAGCAGTATATAATTTATATTTTTTATTAATTTGACGGTTATTTAAAAAATAGAATGACAACAAAATAAAATAGATCCATGCTTTTTACACATATTTGCATAACAAAAATGATACTTACTTATAACCTACTCTACCAGCAATTAAAACACTAACAACCGGTTGCAAGAATATTTATTAAAGTTAACTAACCTAATAAACTTTGACAGATGTTTAGAATATGCGTAATTTGAAGTTCATGTCATTCAAACTCATCACATTCTCAAGCTCTGTCCAAGTTAATCAGATTTATACATTTTAATAAACGTTATTGCAACCAGCTGTAACACTGATGGATTGTAAAAACGTTTTTTAAAGTAAACCTTATTTGACATAGAGTGCTGCTATCAAAATTTTACATCTGTCATTGTCATATAAAATACCTCACAACGTTTTTACAGTCCAAACAAAATTCTCAAGAAATCAAGAAGATCAACACAGGACTGGCCAGACGGGAAGAAATTTAAAATATATTTCAGGATTGTTTTTTTTTATTTCTATTCGAGCCGAATGGGACTTACCTTTTGTTTAACCAATTTATACTATTAAAAATTGTTTTGTTTCCGGTGGCGATGCGCAGAACGACATTTTCAGTGGACCCAGATACACACATAGACTCAATTGAGCAAGCGGAACAAATGACTATAGAGGGCACTTCGAAATGGTCGTGCAAGATTGCAATTACAGGTATTGGCAGCTGCATTCTATCGGGACGCACTATGAAAATTATTCTCTTCACGAGAAATTCAATTATGCTCTATTTTTTATTCTATATACATACTTACACTGGTTCTATGAATGCTCTCTTTCTGGAAAACGTTCCTAATTTTAATATTTGTTGGGAGTAGTTAACATACGTTATTTATTTTATTTTCAGCCTTTCCTATTTTTTTTTTATTTATTTTATTGCACGTATCTGATTTACAACCAGATTCTCTGGACAGATGGTTTATCATCTTTATATTTAAAATATGCTATCTTCTCGAAATATGTTGAATTATAAGACATTTTCAATTACAGGAAACATTCTTTTATTTATGAACAAATCGACAAAATTTTAAGTATGGCTATCAAAGTGATAATTTAAACATGGGAATCCCTCAGACGAATAAATAAACTAGATAAGTAACTATCATAGTTTAGCATAGGCTTTGTAATAAAAATAAAGCGAATTATGCTATTAAATGTTGAAACTACTTTATATCAAGTATGACATAACTTTTTAAGCATAATAGTGTTGTTTTGAAAACAATTAGAAAAAAGAAAATACTTCAGCAGATGTTGTATTATATGATAAGTGTTTTTTATTTGGATTTTAGAAAAAATTAATGGGTCAAGAAAACGCAAAACTAATGAAAGTTGTTCAAATTGAGTAGGTGGGTAGAAAACCAAAAAAGAAATAACTTTTTCAACGAAATCGTGAGAAAGAATCTACCTTATTGAATTTTTTTAATTATGTTGTATTTGACAGGTATATCCGATCCAGAGAAAAGAAACGTACATTTTTTTAAACATATTCGAAGAATAAACTGTTCTAAATTTGCGTAAAATAAATAATAAATAAATGTCTAATATGATGCGGACTTTAATGGTAATACTTTATTGGTAATAGGGTGAATCCTAAATTGATATTTTTATCTCTGTACAAAATTAATTAAAATAAACAACTTTTTCAAATAACTTTTTTAAATAACTTTCAAAAAACTCAAAAATAGGAAAATTATATAAATTTATTCCGAAATGCATCTAATACGGTCTTGTCTATCATAAATAATGTGCAGAACTTATTAAACAAACACCAATCTACGGTTTTTCCATTTATAGACGTGCATATTTTTGGTTAGTCAGGAAATTATCCTGATTCCAATAAGCAGCTCGTTCTTTGAAACAGAATACATTCTTCGTTCAAAAATTCAGCACTGTCGGTAATTTTCCCAGTGCAGTGGTCTGACGTCATCTATCAGATTTTGTCTTCACTATCTAAAGTACTAGATAATGATAAGTTTTTTATAGAAACCGAAAATATTTAAAGTCTGATTTTTTTTATAATGTCCTATATTGCTTAAAAAAAGAAGCGCTAATGCAGAGAAAGTGATGCTTTTACCAAAACAAATCAAATAATTTTTAAGAGTTATTACTGCCATCATTTCCCAAATATAACTAATTTTGATGAATTAGCTTAAGAATACAGAATCCTCACAAATTCCTCACAATTGGGCTTATGCTCCCACTTTTGCTCGACCAGTTTTAAATACTTTTTTATTTTTATCTTTATCGGTTGTAAGCAGGTAGGGTTAGGTTTGGCCCAGAACACTGCGGCCTCTTGGGTCTATTGTATTCCCCTGCTTTTCCCTTAATCAGGTACTATCTTCGGAATAGTTCTGTGTCTTTGGTTAGTTTTAATAGGTTCCCTACCAAGTATTCCTGGGGCGTTCTTTCCGGTTCTAGGCCGAAGAGGATGAAACGTCGCCTAGTAAGAGCTTCGCATTCCAAGATCACATGGCATGAGGTTTCTTCGTCTTCCACGCAGAGTCTATACGTAGTGGAATCATTTTGTAATCCCATCACATGAAGATGTTTCAGCAAGCAGTGCCCCGTTAGTAATCCCACAATGGAGGATATCTGATGCCTTGCGAGTTGTAGTTCCTCAGTAGCCATGCGTGGGTTTGGTCCCCTTAGCATGAGCTTACTGATTCTGTGCCCTTTTATCTGTTGCCGGTGAATTTTGTGTTTTGTGGTTATCCACCTGTTCACTGCCTGTCGAGCAGAGATTCCGCTTATCCCAAATACAGGTTCGGGCCCTGTGAATGGTAGATCTGATCTCTCTTTGGCGATTTCATTTCCTTGGATACATTTGTGCCCTGGTACTTACGCTGGTTTTACCTTATAAATACTCTTAAATACTTAAAATGTAAGCATTTGTCCTCATATTGTCAACAAATATTCGCCAATATACTCTTGGTGTGGCTTGGTGTTGGTAGTACCCCGTAGAGACGCCGTTTAAAGGTCGACTGCAGGTGGCTGCGGCATGCTTTTGATCTCAAAAAATCAAACAGCATACAGCGACCATAGTAGATTCACTGGTCCTGTATTTCTATTTTCGCCGACAACGCTTCGACCAGAAGCAATATCAGACGTGAAGCGCCTGGGGCTTCTGACCTCGGACTTCTGCTGCAGTGAATAAATTTATATGGTTGAAGTGGAATTTTGTTTTTTATATTTTAAATTGCAAAATTTACAAAAAAAATTTCGTGCTTTTAATTTTTTAATTATTTAAAAAATATATAAAATATATTTGAGTAAAGAGTGTACTAGTAGATGACATTATAAGGATGTAATTTTACTAAAATAAAAATAATTTGTTTAAAAGAACGTTAAAAAACCCAAAAAACAAGTGATTACAATACATTCAGCCATTGAATGCACTGGTTTCTATTTAGTTTTTTTTTTGTGTCATCGGCATCAACTGCTAAGGTTATTAGCCTTGTGTTCTGTTAGGCTTGTTACTGTTTCCCAGCGCCACTTTAGGAACAGCACTCTTAATTAGAACCCAACAGTGAATGGTCATGTGGGGAATCCTACCAAGGCAACAGAAATAATTTTAGATAATTAAATTAAATAAAAAAAAATCGGCAAACGGTGGGATCTATTTAGTTAAGTTAAATATTTTTCTCAAAAATGTTATTTTTTTCCAATACACCTATGTACCTGTATATGACATATAAGAACCACTGGCTGACGTGTCAAACGTTCCAATAGCTGACATTGTAGAAAATGATACCAATGGATGACAATAATTAAACAACGAGGGAAAAATACTAATAAAAATACAAATTTTAACATTATTTAACAAACATATTCTTATTTTTTACATGATCAATATAGACAATATAAACATATAAAATAGTAATACATTTTTCATATTTCATGAACACTTATTACAGAACTTTTAAATACATATCTTAAACGTTCACCAATAGAAACCACCTCAAGATTTTCTGGTATTCCAAAAATCTGACCAACAGAAAGTGTTGAAACATTCTTTTCATTTGCAATTAATGTTTTTTTTGTTTGTGTCAATACAGTTTAAAGCCATAGTACTAATGTTTCCAACGATCTCCTGTACAGTACATACATATGGAAACTTCTGAGCATTTCTGTTGCCTCTTACAAAATTAACCCACACAAAATCACCATTTTTTAGTATGTTAATGTGCTTTAGAGGCTTCACTTTTTCTATCTCTTGATCTTCTTTATCAACTTCAATATTCCAGGTTAAATCATCCGATTCTGCATATTCAACATCTTCATCATCTTCACTGGACTCGTCTAATTCTAGTTTTTTTTTTAGATTTTTACTATCTTGTAATTTATTTTTACTTTCTTTTTTTTCTGTTTAGCTTTTCTCTTTCCTTTCGTTCCTTTTCTAGCATCTTTTTTCTATTGTATTCCTGTCATGGTTTTAAAGGTATAACTGAAAGCATTTTTTTCTTTTGTCTCTTTTTAACATTTTTTTTTTCTCCGGCCAAAACAAACTCTTTTAAATGGCGATGGTATTATTAACTTCGCTGAAGTTTTGATAGATGTGATATACTACGTGAAGAAAATAAAATAGAAGCAGACTCTATAAAATTTAAGAATCCCAAAATGTATATAGTAACTTGGATATCACCTGATGAAAAAAACATACAACCAAATTGATCACGTACTAGAAAATATTCGACAATAAAAGATAAAGACATTTAGAGGAGCATTCGAATCAATACATGGTTTAGAATGGCATCTGGAGAATAGGAAAATTCTAAGTTCTCAGCAATTTGGTTTTAGAAGAGGTCGTGGATGCATAGAAGCTACGTCATACCTTACAACGATTATACAAACGGCTTTTTCTCTCAATCAATATGTGGTAGGTATATTCTTAGACATCGCATCGGCATATGATAGTGTTAATATATCTCTTCTTTATAACATTATGATTGACGTTGGAGTATCCTCTGATCTAGTCAATCTGATATACGCCTTTTTGAATCAAAGGACCTTATATATCAGAGACAATCATGGAGAAATCTACGGACCTCAACATACAAGTCAAGGTCTCCCACAAGGCTCACCTCTCAGTCCCATTTTGTTTAATCTTTATACCGTTTCTTTATATAGTATCCTTCCTAATAAATTCAAATTAATTCAGTATGCAGATGATCTTGTCCTATTGGCTACTGGAGTTAATGTAGATCATATAATTATAAGCATAAATGAGTTTTTTCTTCCAAGATTGGCTTGTTAACCATAATTTTAAATTGTCTTCAAATAAATCTAAAGCTATTTTATTCACAAAAGGTCAAACCAGATTTATTACTCCCAGTATTCTAATTAATCATCAAACTATTCATTGGTTTGATACTACTAAATACTTAGGTATGTTTATCCATAAGAATTTAAAATGGACTTCTCATATCAATTATTTAGAGACAAAAGTGAGTAAAAACCTAAATGTTATGCGAGCTCTTTGTGGTACTTGGTGGGGAGGTGATCCGAAAACACTAAGAATATTATACAAGGCCATCATTTTAAGTCACCTTGAATATGGATGTCAAGTCCTGAGCCCCACTACCAAAACTATAAGTAAGAAGCTTGACCAACTACAATATCAAGGATTACGGATTATTACAGGTTGCATGAAATCAACT